AAAACCCTAGGAAAAACTGGGACTGGGCWGGAGATAATGTTGAAGAGTTTACACAGAAATCTCCATGTTTGCYTAATGGTATGGGGTATGAAACAATGGAGGGAAGGGAGTAAATCTTTAAGAAAGTAAGATACAATTTTGTTCATGGCTCATTTGAAGCCGAGTTTTCATCAGAGGAAAATGCTTCTAGTGACCATAAGCTGTGGTTAAGGTATGTGCAAGGAGTTCACTGTGGTGTTAGGTTCATCCTCTTTCTGTGCTACATGTTCCATCCCCATTCCATGGTCCAACTTCTCTGCTGTCCACAGGAACAGAGAAATTAGTCTGGTTGTTGAAGACAACAACCCTTTTAGGGAGCAAGGGCCAACTTTTTTCTGAGCTTAGTAGTGGGTGTCAGATTCTAGAAAGTGTTATAATGGAAGGTCAAGTTCTGGAAATAGTTGAAAATCACTGATTTAGAAGAATGACAGCACTGCATGTTTCTGTACTGCTGATGTGATAGCCAGGGCAAGCTGGGGATGGCCTAGAAAAAACACAACACCAGAGGAATATTCAGAGGAATATTCAGAGGAATCGAGCTGTTTAAAATTATCTTCTGTATAATTTCCTCTCTGAGCACTATAATACTTTGTGTTAATAAGCTGGGACATTTTTTCCATTCCTCTGGGAAGGTTTTCACCCCATTCCAAGGAGAAGATCTGATTTAGGAGTACTCTGYCCTGACCAGACTCTATCCACAGGAGTCAATGGATGGTGCTTCCCACTCTGATGTGGACTTTGTGACAGTTCTCAGGCAAATGCTTCTTTTATCCATTACTTCATACACATCTTACTGTCCCTGCAGAGTCCTTTTTCCTTTCTTAGGATTTTATCTTTTTAATATGCTTTTCATCAATTTTTTCTTGCATTGTGTGTTCAGTTTTGCATCTTTAGTGACTCTCAGATCTGTCCAGCTGGATATCCCATCCCCAGTACGTTCRCAATTTTACTCTGTGGAGTGGAGCTTACAAAGCTTTTACACAGTTATGTCTTTGTTTCTAACATCTCCACAGAGGTACCATTATTCAGCTACATGTTTCATCCATTTATTCTTCGTCTAGGAAGAAAAGTTTGCAGCTCTAAACTTGCTGGGAAGAATACCTTTGGCTTACCTTTCCTCTCTCCCCTAGTCTACAATTTCATGTTAATGTCTTCTACCTGTAGCTTCAGGAAACAAGACTAATTCTTCTCTCCCTTCACTGTGTGAGTTGTCACATAAGGTAACCAGAAGTGTGGCTTCTACAATGACAGGGTACTTAATTTGAGAATTAGCTCTGGGAATTCAAATGCTGTGAGCCAGTGAATGTAACTTCACAGGAGCCTACACCTCTGAGGGCCTTGTACATAAACCTTTTTAATACCTTTCCTGCAGACACTAAATGTTATTTCCATTTTCTTACATATGTGATGCTAGGTACACAACATTTGTATTGTCTTCTTGTGAGGCAGTCTCTTACCACCTCCTGCCTGCTGTAAATTGTGGGCCTATTTAAGAGAACCAAATGGCCAGAGCAAATGTCATCTCCCTCTCCACTTGCTGAACTCTGCTCAAATACAACACTGTTTTTCTGCCTCAAAAATACATGTTAAGGTATGTATAGTATGTTAGCCCCTCCTTAGCCTTTCCCACCCTGAAACTTTTCAAATAGGGATGGCATGTTCCTCTCTTCACTGCCAAAAAAAAAATAAATTCCTTTCTCAGCATTTCCCCCTTCCCCCATTTCTTCTCAGCTGACAGCTGTGAGTAGAACTTTCTTGAGCTGTCCTATCCATTTCCCCCAATTCTGTTTTTAAGCTWGATTTGGTTTAAATATCCAAGCCASMTTTMACACTGCAGATTTTTTTAACATAAAGTGTCTTTGCAAATGCTTAATGTGGGTAGAGACATGGCAACTGTTTATATATATTTATTTTTCTTTCTTAAACAGCATTCCCTCCTCTCACTCCAGCAATTTAGAAAGTTGATAGGGAATTAAATTGAACAATATAGTCATTTTAGAAGTTACAGGAAGGCCAAAGTTTCATAATAAAGGAACTTTTTTTCAAGACTATTTCCTTATAATTCAGACAATCTATTTGATTTTCATACTATTCACTTCTAACCAAATAAAAATTGCATTAAGAAATATAGGAATTGTATTCARAATCTGGAGAGTAAAATGAAAATAAGGGAATTTAGGATAGTTCTTGAATTTCATGCTTCTCAAACGTGCAAGGCCTGATAGCTTKAAGTCTTCTGTTGGTTGTTTTGCACTTTGATCAGACTGTGAGGTTATTGCTTGCCCTGACATACACATCTACAGTAACTCAGCTTTATGGGAAGGTGTTTTTCCACCCTCATTGCCATTAGCCTGTGCACAAAGGAGTATCAGGTACTGTACTTCAGTTGACTTTACAAGGCAGTGTATAAGTGTGCAGTTGTCTTTGCAGAATCTAACATAATTTAATAATTAAAACATTCAGGCAAGGGGAAGGTTAGCTAGTCCTTTTGGCTTGGATTAACACAACTGCATGTTTGTGTGCTGGAAAATCTGGGTTTGACAATGATAAAATAGGATCRATGGTTCCATGAGTTGTGAAATTCAGGAATTTGTGAAATCACATGAGTTCTGCAAAATGTGTTCAGAGTGCTTTGAGTCTGTTTGTTTCCTTTCATTGAACTTGATATGTTATTAGGGTGAACCCACTGGAATGTGGCACTAGAGATCCAAATGATGGAGACCATACGTGAATGGGCATCAGTGAAAGTGGTGTTAATTTTTCTGTGGCCTTAAGAGCACACAGACGTGAATCATCAGATAGCCAGTGTCACTTACTTTATAGTCTATCATCTCACTGACTACAAGGAGATAATTTGACTTCAGACATGTGGGGTATGCCATTGAACATTAGTCTACAACAAAATGGCATGAAAAAAACCCTATTTTTCCGATGGAATATCATATTCCTTGCTACCACACTCCAGAACAGTCTCTGCATTTTGCTTAAGAACCACTGATTTCTGAGGACGGTGTTCTGCAGGCAGACAAGTGTCAATTGCCTATAGTTTCACTGTCTAGGAAAACTTAGTTTTGGAAATCCTTCAGTTTTCCTTGTCTTCCCATATTCTTGCATGAACACCTTCAGCTTTCCTCATCACTGGAATGCTGAAACCTCTGCAGCAGGAAGTGCATCGGAGCTCTGGGTTGTAGATTCACCCAGCAGTATACAACTGTTTTGTAACTTCTCTGTAGAGGAGAACATTTTGTTTTCTAGAGACATGATGGTTGGCACATGAACAACACCTATAATGCCTGCTGCCAATTTGTTGTTTGTTACTTGGTTTATTAATTAAGTTACACAAAAGATTTGGAAAAAGGCCAGAACTTGTAGGTTTTGGGGTTTTTTTTTGTCCCATATTTTGGACTGCCTGGCCAAAGCAAAACAATGAGATGTGCAGAGATACAGAGGAGTCCCCAAAGGTTAGCTCTGTTCTGGGACTAAATTACACCAAAGCCTTGCTCCTCCACTGCTACCRTGAACTTTAGTAGAGATATCCTGTTGGGCTATTAATTGACTTCTTAAGAACTTCTGTTTACATYCAAAATAACCAAGAGCCACGTAGTTTTGAACCAGAAGAAAATTTCTTTAAAGCTCAAATATACTTAAAATTGAAATTTCAGATTGGCTCATTCGATATTTTGCCCTATTTCTATCAACTTTACATTCTTTTTTCTTGATTTTTTTTTTCTTTTTGGTAGATGTTTTACCAGTCTGGTAAAAGTCATGGCGTGGAATCCACTTCTTCTTTAATATACCCTCATATCTAATAATTCACTCAAAAATGACAAGAAACCCTTGTGCCTGCAGTGTGCTTAACCACAGTCAGGCATTGCTGTGGCACTTTTGACCCAGTACCTCTCTGAAACATTCTTCTGTGCAGTTCAGAAGTAGCTTTGAGGAAACAGTGCTCACTTCCAGTAKGAGTTTGTCCCACAGTGGCATTATACACAGCTGGAAAATCCTCATCTCTGCAATCCTTTCTAGAGCCATTCCCAACACTGCTGACACGTTTTCTTGAAGCTTTACTGTGTGTTTTAGTAACTTAGAGATGCAGCCCTCTGAATGACCTCATCAGCTGCACCAAATCACTGTGGATAACACCTCAGCTGCACCAAATCACTGTGATAACACCTCAGCTGCACCAAATCACTGTGATAACACCTCAGCTGCCCCAAATCACTGGATAACACCCAGTCCCACAGGATATAAGGAGGCTCAGTGGGAGCTGTGCCGCTTTCTGCAATTCCCTGTGGATGTTGTAGCCAAGTGGGACCTGGGCTCTGCTCCCCGGGAATAGGTGGCAGGACAAGAAGATGTGGTCTTCAGCTGCATCAGGCAAGTTCAGGTTGGCCATCGGGAGGAATTCTTTTGCAGAAACGGTGCTCAGACACTGGGGAGGGCTGTCCAGGTAGGTGGTGGAGTCACTGTCCCTGGAGGTGTTTAAGGAAAGGCTGGAGGTGTCACTCGGTGCCATGGCCGGGCTGACACCGTGGCTTTCGGTCATGGGCTGGCCTTGCTGCTCTCTGATCTTTCCCAACCCAATTGATTCTATGATTCTGTGAAAACAACCCCCGTGCCCAGGGCCGGTGCGAGCCGCTGGTACGGCAGCAGCACACGGTACCGGGGGAGAGCGCCGGCCCTCGGCCCCAGCAGCGCCCGCCATCGCATCGGGACCTTCAGGGGCTTTTTTTAATCCTCAGTTACGTGGTGCGTTACTTTCTGCACGCCGACCCCCTCACATTTCTCTCTTTCTTTATAATTTGTATTGGTTTCGCTGCCTCCCAGCGCGCTGGCCGGTTCCCCGCAGGGCCCCTTCCCTTCCCTTCCCACACGGCACTCGGGGCCCGGCCCGGCCCTTTTCCCGCTTCCTCCCGCCGCCGCCGCGGCGCGCGCGCGGCCCCGCCCCTCGCGCACATCCGGGTCCCGGCGCTGGCCCCGCCGGCCCCGCTGCCGCCGCCGCTCCCGTCCCGTCCCGCCGCTCCCCCCGGCAAAGTTTGGCTGCAGCAGCAGCGGCGGCCGCGGCCCAGCCGGCGCCTCACGGACACCCGCCCCGGGGAGGCCGCCCGCTCCGCGCCGGGTGGGTCGGGTCGGGGCGGCGGGATG